GCTGCAAAAAACATGTTCTACACAAATATCAAGCGCATTGATATGTGGCATGCAATTCCGCGAACAAAATTTCCAAGCAGCCAAAAATTGGTCGGGTTTTTTACATCACAAGCAACTTGATTTTATTTCCAATGATTGAAATACAATTATAACAAAACAAAAGCTTTTAAATCTTGCTTCTCAATTAAGTGAAGAAAGTATGTTCTGTAAGCAGAATTGGAGTATATATCCTGACCAAACCTTATGATTTTCTCGAACAAAAACTTTCAAACTGACTTTCTCAAGCCAACGCTTGGAAAACACTGCAAAGTGCAACATTTGTTGTCAAAGTTAACTTTCTAGGATGTGCGGCTGCTGAGCTACCGTATGTCAAACTTGACACCATCAATGAGGCAATCATCGACGTTTTCATATCCCACGCGTGGCGTTATCAGGAAAGCTGAAACAGTCCTAGTTTATTCCGTATCCCTACAAACAGGAATCTATAAAAAAATTGGATAGCTGAGAGTAAGACCCATTGCCTGTAAAACTATAACAACCTTGGTCGGAAAGGTGAATTGGTCATAAATTGGTCATAGCATTTTGTACTACAAGCTGACCCAAAAACTCATTTCAACCCCAAATTTCCAGGTACATAAATATTTATACACTACTTAACCATCTAATCCTGGACAGAGCATGTACAGAACATGTACAACTTGAAACAGTTTTTGACTCAAGTTCTGAGCCCAATTTTTGGCTTTATGGCAAGCCAAAAGATGTTTAGAAGTTCAGAATCGCCTAACCGACGGGAAGTACCATCGTTCTGTGAAGCCAGCTTTACTGTTATCTGTCTTCATTGCGGAGCCACAGCACAGCAAACAGCGAAGTATGAAAGCCCAGTTTAGCTACGATTCTCTCTCTCTCTCTCTTCTCTCTCTCTATCTCTCTCTCTTCTCTTCCTCTCTCTCTCTCTCCTCTCTCTCTTCTCCTCTCTCTCTCTCTCTCTCTCCTCTCTCTCTCTCTCTCTCTCTATCTCTCTCTCCTCTCTCTCTCTCTCGATCTCTCTCTCTCTATCTCTCTCTCTCTCTCTCTTCTCTCTCTTCTCTTCTCTCTCTCCTCTCTTCTCTCTCTCTCTTCTCTCTCTCTCTCTCTCTCTCTCTCCTCTCTCTATCGTCTCTCTCTCTCTCTCTCTCTCTTCTCTCTCTCTCTCTCTCTCTCTCTCTCTCTTCTCTTCTCTCTCTCTCTCTCTCTCTCTCTCTCTCTCTCTCTCTCTCCTCTCTCTCTCTCTCTCTCTCTCGCTCTCTCTCTCTCTCTCTCCTCTCTCTCTCTCTCTCTCTCTCTCTCTCTCTCTCCTCTCTCTCTCTCTCTCTCTCTCTCTCTTCTCTCTCTCTCTCTCTTCTCTCTCTCTCTCTCTCTCTCTCTCCTCTCTCTCTCTCTCTCTCTCTCTCTCTCTCTCTCTCTCTCTCTCTCTCTCTCTCTCTCTCTCTCTCTCTCTCTCTCTCTCTCTCTCTCTCTCTCTCTCTCTCTCTCTCTCTCTCTCTCTCTCTCTCTCTCTCTCTCTCTCTCTCTCTCTCTCTCTCTCTCTCTCTCTCTCTCTCTCTCTCTCTATATATATATATATATATATATATATATATATATATATATATATATATATAGGAAGGAAGGAAGGAGAGCTAGAGCTTTTTTCAATACGTCTTGATTACAGTATATGTTAAGAAAATGTAAGGAAAAAATAATGGGCTCGAAAATTTTACATGAGCCTTAGAAACTGAGACTGCATTGTGTTCACCGCATTTAAGGTCATATATGCTTAACTTACATGCATCATGACTTCTACTTACAAATTTGGCTAAAATGGATAAGGTATTTCTTTCCGGTCGCATTCTGTTAAAAAAGATACATTTTCTTGAGGCGGTCAACCCACGGCAGCGTTTTAATCGGTTCCTTTGACCTTTCCTGCGCCTGCCACGTCGTATTTGTATATACATTCGCTTTGCGCCATACATTTGACGGTTGTCAAGTCTTTTATGTGCGTAATTTTCCGTTTCGATAATTATCCACTTAACTCGTGTCGATTGTAGATAGGGTTGTTATGATTATTAATCGCGAATTCGTGAATTCCCATTGGTATTTTACAGTGGCTTCTCAGAAGCCGCTCTCGATCATGTAACATGATCTAATAGTTTTTAGCTTCCGGTGCGCGCCAGGGCCATGGCAGTCTTGACATCCACGCGACGATCGTCGGCAGCACGTGCGCGCTTGCAGGCGACAGAAAGTTACGACGGCCAACTGTACAAATATATTTATCGCCCCCACTCGTTGTGTCGTTGGCCGGACATCGCGGACGGATAGTGCCGCGATAATCCCACTCTTCATTTTTGTCTGCGTGAGGAATTAAAAGCCCCTTTTTCCAACAAAATCTCTGAACGGGCCCAACCTTGTGATTTTTAACTCAGTTTTGGGCCTTAAAATGACAAAACTCTTATACAGGAAGATAGCTCCATTATTTGCATATAAGACCAATTTTTGGTTTCAGGGTGAGATCTAAAAGCCTCTGCAGTGCCCATTCCCCCTAGACGATGCAGAGGATAGTCACCCCATTAGATTAAATCAGGATATAAGCACCCCACCGAATTTAGTGTATAAAATAGGATCACCTAACCTAACCTCTCACTTGATCATCAGTGGAATGCCGGTAATTACCCATCAAGTCTGTTGACAAGAGGGAAAATATGATATTGTTGTCTCATTTAGCAACAGTAGTCAAAATAAATATGCTGCTGTAGTGTCTTCTAGCAGCAGAAATAAAACTAATTTTGAGTTCCGTGATCGCTGGATGCTATGGACATTGATTGTCACAACTGGACGCTGCGCGCTCGGATGCTGTGGACACCGCAATGGGCACGGAATTAGACGCATGTGGAATGTTATAATGTTGAATGTTGCGATCCTGGATGAATGAGCACTGCAGTGCACATCAATAAGATAGTGACAGGTTGCAGTGGGATAGGGTTGGTAATGACATTTGTGATAGTAAGTAGGAGGAGAATACGCTGGAGTATTAAGAGGCAGCGGTAGAATAAGGTGGGACTGGAATAAGGTAGAAGTAAATTAAGGGAAGCGTAGGTTATTGAAGGAGAAGAATAAGATGGCATCAGAGTAAGATAATACATTTGAATTTCAAGAAGTTGAAGAAGGTGGGAGTAAGATAAGGTAGCAAAAGAATAAGGTAGGAGTAGATTGAGGTTGAAGTGGGAGCGGTAGTGGGAGCAGGTAAAGCCATAAACTGACCTGGGTGCAATGCTGTTGCAAATGCTAACCACTCACCTCACCTACCGAAACCAACCTAACCTAATTCAACCTTATCTAACCTAATATTTTCCAACCCGACCCAACCCGACCCAACCTAACCTAAACTATTTTAACCTAATTTGACCTGATTTGTTTCCTCCCATCCGCAAATTTCAGCTCCGGTTCACATTGCTATGAATGCTTATCCGTTTGTATTATAAATATGCGAAAAAGGTGAAGCTTACTTCCGGGCAATCTACCGAACGTTCCAATTGACATCTTCAGGCGTTCAGTTTGTCGTCAACGTTTTCGTTTTTGTCCGCCCTCTGGCCAAATCCTAATATTAACGAAGGGGCCAACGGTGCGCAGCCTTCGGAAACTGCAACACCGGGCATCCGGGACGGGGGGGGGGGGGCTTGTATAAAACTCGGAACTCGCATAGTCAAGGCTTTGTTATGTAATTCTTCCATTTCTTGATTCTGAACAAAGGTTGAACATCTCAGAACGAGCATGGATTGGTCATGTCAATGCAAGTTTAACACCCTCTTCAAGTTTAAAACCGATCTGCAATCTACGTCCATAGCGTTTCCGCACACTCAAGAAAAAAATCCGCGAAAGCCAGAAGTGCTGTCGGCTTAGAAAGAGTCCACTGAACCATTGTAAAGTGAAGAACGCTGGCGATCTGCGCTATGAAGTCATGCAAAGCCTGGTTCCTCCAGTCTGTTTTCGGAATGCAAACCGAATTGCGCGTTTCGGTCCCTTGTGGCATTACTGTCAGTTAAAGTATAGATACTTAAATGATTCGAAGAAAACCGCACCACTCCACATCAAAAGACTACTATCTGGTGACCCTTTTTGGGTAGGACCTTACACCAAGTCCATTTCAACACTTTGTCAACCCTTTAGCCCTCCCCTTCCCCCTTCACAACCAAGACTGGCCGCGCCCTTGCGTGGGCGAGCTCGTCAAGCACCGAGTATAGGCACATAGGTAGAATCACTTGGCCACTAAAGAGCCAGCTCATCTAGCAACGCCTTCACAATCAATCTGTGCTGCGCATACTACTGGCATTACTGGCGTTTCACTAAGCATTCATTCGAACTGAAGCGCGTTAGGGTCGGTTTCCCTTCCGAGGCACAACAGCTTGGAACGGTGTTCCCCAGAAGTGTGCTGGCACTGCCTATGACGACTACAGCGGTCAGCTTGACAGCACGGGGTGGTGGCATGCCCCGGCGACAAAAGTGTTTGAAACTTTTGAGTGAGGTGTGTGTGCTCAGTATCAATTCGTCGAGTCCCAGCCGCGTGGCCCACATCACGGGCTTCGATGGGCGGCCAGCTACTATATATATATATATATATATATATATATATATATATATATATATATATATATATATATACGTGTGCGTGCGTGTGCACCGCACGTTCAATCACTTGTTTTTCTTATCCGACATGAACACACACTGGCACTTCGGTGACAAATTGTACTGACTTTCTGGTTTATGCGATTTGGCTAGTGAAACCGACCATTCTGAGCTTGGGTTCTCCTCCCCGACGTTCCCTCTTATGCCTTTAGAGTTCCAAAAGTAGTCAACCCGCCCCAACAAATCCGACCTTCCAGTTCGGCCACCTGAGCTTCAGTCTCTGCTCATTTCGGACACCGGTTTCTTCAGCTGGCCCATATCAATCGCTAGTTCCTCGCAGGTCGATGACCGTACATGCATGCAATGCTGGGTGTTTTTTTTTTTTTACACAAACTGAATGAACATACGGTCCCCTTTCTCACCATCACAAACGTGCGCGCTAAACATTTAACCAGACGCAAAATTCGAAGTTGAATTCGATGCATGCTTCCAAATGGCTAAAACGACGCTTTCCCGGAACACCATAGCTACACAGCTGATTTATTTGGGGACAAGTGGCACGTAACCTATCCGAATGACAAAAAGTGAAAAAAATTAGAGCCGACATGGAAAGTAAAATTGCGACGATATCAGTAAGCGGCCGCAGTCATATGCAACAGTGAGCATATGCTGCCATTTAATAACGTTATTTTTCCAATAGTGGCAAACAGTTCTCATCATTCAGGTGCTGACTGAACCGCTCCCAGCCTCTATCATGCCATGCTTTCACAAACTCTGGGTGACCTACCAAATCTGAAGCACCTCTCCTCTTTGCAAACGAGTCAAATCAACCGAGCCTCAGTGATTTCACACCGAACAGCTATCAGAGCATTTTGGAACCATGTCATACGTGAGCTACACAACCCGGGACAGACATGCTATGCCTCACACCACACGCGTATGGCAGCCTTCAATGCCTGACAACACAGGCAAGCCGACAGACAAACCCACCGGGCGACCACGCGCTCCTCTGCAGCACCACGTTATCATCTAGCGGCTCGTGTATGCCCGCCGCGGCTTTCGCCTACTATCAGCCAATAATCAAGCCACACCCAAGTCGGAACTGACTCTTGGGATGGTTAAGCATACCGCTCAGGGCAAACGTGAACGGCAACGGCTGTAGCTTCTTCTCTAACACGGCACCGACCGTCCAGTTCGAGTCCACCATCCCACGGAAGACCAGGTTGGCCTTGGGCAGGTCGATCTGGTAGCCAACACTGCCCACCGCCTCCTGCATGCGCAAGTTGGTCTCCAGCTCGCAGCCGAACTGGATCTGGTCGGACGACTTCTGCCAGTAGCAGAGGTGCGCGCCGGCCGCGCCCACCGTGCCGCTCAGCGTGTACTCGGGCGCCTTGTACTTGCCAGCCACGGAGAGGACGGCGATCTGGCCACCGGGCACCTGCGCGCCGTACTGGTAGGCCAGCTCCGCGCCCAGGGCCAGGCGTTCCGTGACTGACTGCAGGTAGTGGCCCACCACCACCCCCGTGTCGTTGATGACGTCCACATTCGCCAGCGTCAGCGAGCCGGTAAAGTCACGGCCCCGGTAGTCCGCCGAGAACTGCGACGCCATGAACTTGGAGTTTTGAACCTGCGCAACAAACTTGCAGCGCACCTGCTCGTTGAACTGGTGGATGATGTTGGCGTTCATGTTGCCCGACGGGTCGATGTCGCCTAGCAACACGGGGAACGCTTCCGACGGGCTGAACTGCTTGTTCCCCACATACGTCGCGCCGAAGCGGTACCCGGAAGGCGTCACAGAGCTCATGTTCAACGTGTGCGAGATCTGAAAGTGATTGCTCAGACCCTTGTTCACCATAATTTTCGCTCCTTCAAAGTTTGTAGGGAAGACATCTTTGCAGGCTTTGTGAAGTTCGTCCATTGAACCAGGATTTTCTAGAGATGTCTTGGAAGCTTTCTCCTCAGTTTGGCCTGGTGTTGGCGCCAAACTTGATGCCATGACATTGCCCATCTTTACAGACCGCTGATGGTGTGGCGATCAGACGTTTTCCCTGATGATGGCGTGGCGATCAGACGTTTTCCCTGAAAAACAAATGAGGCACTGATCAAAACGCTTGATGTTCGTTTGCAGCCAGTCATGACGGCTTCACGTGGCTGCCGCAACACACGAGCGTAGTTCTTTGAAGGTTTGCTGGTCTTAAAAATGTTTAGAGCATCTTAATTAGACCTGAAGATTCGAATTCTAGTCAACACATTTCCATAGCCTCATGAATCCACAGGCTCTCAAAAAACATTCAGACCCTGCAAATTACATTCAAACCCTAAAAACTAAACGGAATTATAATACACATCATTTAAAGGCCCTCTTAAGTATTTTAAATGTTCTATTGGTTTATACTTCATCACATGAACTAAATGCAACAGACATATGTCGGCTCCTCGTCGGACAAAATAGCCAGTTCCCAACTTTTATACATTGCATTATGTCGGCATTTCGAAGCACAGATTCCAGTCTATTCTGAAGTCAAACTGGAATCCGAATTCACCTACGTCCAGATTCTAACCGAAATTCTGTGAATCTCCACCTCTACTCCGGACAGTCGTAATACGGGCAGCCGTAACAAGATTGATGTTTCCTTCAGCCATGGAGGAGGACCAAACTGCTGCCCCGACATTAAATTAGCATGATAATATACTACAGCTGCGAAGTTGTCCAGCACGGTTCGAACCCGTGCCTAGCTCTCGGCAACCCCATTCGTACACGAAAGCCACCGGCACAGTTTGCAAGAGAGGAGCACGGGCATCGGGCAGCCAAAAGTGTAAACCAATGCGACGAACGCACTTGAGGGACTTTGTGGGCACACCGGTTTGTAGTCCTTTGGCATTCGGTCACAGCACGGTAACCACAATGCGAGGGTTTCTCGGACGTATGGATCGGTACATGTCCCTGATGCAAGTGTATTCACGAGCTTAAGACAGTCCGACCCCATAGCAACGCTGATAATGTGACAGAAATCAGCCAAGGGGGGCTTTCTTCACAACCGGACTCGAAATCGTGCGTTCAGACCTACATCGATTGGCCGTGAACAAACCACACAGGTGTGAAGGTCAGTGTGACGAGCATCTACCCAAAACATTTCCGTTTTCTCAACACTTTGGACATAAACCCGAAAGCATAAATTACTTAATTTTGTCCCAAAGTAACTCAGTGCAATTTTTTAATGTCGCAGACCAAAATGCCCGCGCATGGAAGCGGACATTTCAGCGCACCTTTAGCACATCCCACTGCCTGCGGTTCCGTTCCCAACATTTTCATAATATTCACGCGATTTGCAGTTATTTCTGACCACCGCGACCGCTCGTTCGTCAGCATCACTTTATCATTTATTTGGATCTTAATACAGCATGAAACAGCAAAATCAATGAGAGGAGGAACGCCTAGCTCAAACGACCTATCACATCCATACAAACACAAGCAACTAAGCAACTAAACTGAATTGACGTCCCATCCCCACCAAGTGACCCTTTTCTATACATTTCAGTGTTGAAAATACAGCAGTCGCCAAAGGTGGATGAATTACGATTCAGAAGATATTAACCTTTAATACATTAACGACTTAAAATATCAATGGATTATCTACGCATAAACGTTATTCTATCTGATGTACTTTATTTTAATGATTCATCAGATATTGTGTGTAATTGTATGAAACTTACATGTGTTAATGCATTAACCATTTAAAATGCAATGCATACATGGGTTTAAGGTGACAAACAAACAATCATGCGATGACATGACACCCTCGGTACCGTCAAGAACAAACCACAGTAATTGTGCATGTCTCCAAACGACGGCACCTTAATCAAAAGCGAAATCATCCCAACACGGACAGGTACCACCGATATCACATTCATGCGCGTATGCACCTGTGATGCCCTGTCCAATCACCGAGGAGCTATGACCCTCATCTACGGCCCGTGTGAGCACCACGTACAGGGCATCAAGACCAGCACTACAGGGTGTCCCAGCGGGAGAGGTCATTCCTTTCCTAGATAGCCAACGCGTTGAATCCGCATACCGCCCATGGTGAAAGAGCATCGATCCGCTACCGCGCAGTTGCGATGGTCAAGGACGGCATGACCCGGATTCAGGTCGCTAGGGAATTTGGCGTCGACGTAGCGATGATTGGGCGCTGGCTGGCCCGCGACCGCTCCGGAGAGACGCTCGAAAACCGCACAGGTCGTGGGCGGAAGTCGGCCTTGAGCCGAGTGGCGAAGATCGCCATTGCAAAGTCGGCCTTCAAGAGGCGCCACTCGACGAGAACCCTGGCGAGAAAAGGGACGGCGGAGAAACACCCAGCCTCCGAGTCGGCCGTCCACCGGTATCTGAACACCAGCCTGCAACTGTAGCCCCTCAAGCTCAGGTTGCCGCCATGGACCAGAAGCGCAGGCGACTGGAATTCACCAAGGCCCGCAAAAACTGGCCCGTTCAGGACTGGAGACGAGTCCTTTTCAGGGACGAGTCGCCATTCGACCTCTTTCAAGCACCTAACCGCCAGAACGGCTGGGTCTGGACCCACAACAGTTCGGAGGTGCCGATCGCCGACAGTGAAGCAGCCGCTAAAGATCATGGACCGGTCTCAATTATGTTCTGTTAGTGAGGACTACACAACCTTGCAACCAATTTCAGGACTGTTGGCGGAGGTCCAGTGATGTGCAACTGGTATACTGAGCCTCATCACATTCAGAATAGCGGTACCATTTAAACCCCGCCACGGTTTATTCCCGGTTCTCCACACAAGAGCTGCGAGCATGATCAGAAACACCGCTTCCAGTTGGGCCCAGCTCCGATTCTGCTGGCTAGCTCGTTTCGTTATGCGCAAATGCGACAGAATTAAATCTCTGATTAGCTGAATGCTGAAAAACTGGTGTAATCTTAATCATGCGCCATTTAATGTAAGTTCAACTTGATCCATTCACACACTGTACATGCCAAAAAGAGGCAGTTGTCAAAATAATGAAATGCTGCATAATTGTTTGATTCATGATTACGCAAACAGCTGAAAAACTGCATTTCCGCAGCATTCAGTCACTCAGATGTTTGTCTTGCCGCCATAGCGCATCGTATGACATTCGATACGCATATACCCGACATCCGCCTGGACGCCACGTACTACACCGATATTACTCACTGGTCAAGACGTTATAACTGAGCCGCCACTCAATGCGTCGCAGAGCGTGTTAGGACCGTATGCTGGGAGTCACAGGATGCCCCCTGCACGCTGTACACACAGTCACACAGTACACGCAGGGACGCACTCTACCCAACAAAGCCTTTGATAACTTCCATCAGCGTGATTTTCTTGCCACAGATGGAATCATTGTCTGGACTTGCAGTCATGTCTGGTGCTCCCAGCATGCGAACCAAGACAACACATCACGTTTCGGCCAGCTGACTCTCTGGCCATCATCAGGAGTAAAAGAGTCCAAAGGACTGGATGATGTCTGGCTTTCAGTCATGTCCCCAACAAACCTGAATTCTCCCACTTCAGATTGCTGAAATTCGAACAAGGGTTTTCCAATTGTGAGCTCAATGCACTGCCAACTGAGCTAACTATGAAGGGCAGCCCTTTGGCCACCAGACAAAACATTGGTTCAAATCTCAGAGATTCAAAAAGAAAAAACTTAACTGAGACATGCACATGACTGAAAGCTAAGCAATCACTCCAACCAGGACTCCACAATGCCTGACTATGGCTGGCTAGTAAAATGGCTGCAATGATTCCTTCAACATTCTAACACTATGTCACCTATACTAATATGTCTATATATATATATATATATATATATATATATATATATATATATATATATATAACTATACATTCTAACACTATGTCACCTATACTAATATGTCTATATATAATAACTATACTAGTCACATCATACTAATATGTCACCTCAATTCTTCACTGAAACTCAAGAATTACATTGCTTCTACATGACATTTTGTATAGCTGTCTGCTGCCCAACTGAGACCAAACTTCCTAGCTGAAATTGTGACAGGATAAGCCATATTCCATTGACATAAAGTGGCAGGTCATCAGTAACTTTTTCATGTTGTCATAACTTAGCCAAAACTTCAAAAATCATTGCTCTCTGCCTTAGCTCAACCCTGCAGAAAGGGAGAACAGGATGAAGAGCCAGACACAACTTGTATATTGCATCCTGCAGTTTTGCCCAGCTTTGGTGACCCAAGCCCAGCATTCATAGTGCATGCTGTGGGCACCATCCACTGACCCACACAAAGTGCAACAGCTCCCTTTAATTTGGATTTGGGCAAACTAGGATAGTTCATACTTTCTGCACCTCCTTCCCTGTTGACATGCCACCAAACAGTTGCATAATCACCATGCAACAAAAAAGGTGAGAAATGCTGTGTGCATGATACCAACACTAATGTCTGTCTCCCCCATGTCATCCACAATTTGTATGTGGTTAGAACTAATAATTTACTTTTTTAAATGTCTTAAACCAGAAACTTCTAAAAGGACAGCCAAGCCAAAGCCAGAAAGACTCACTACGCCTTATCCTGAAGAGTGCTCAAGAAACCCATGCACTAAGCATATAGCTTATCAGCTTGCATCAACCTTCATTCTTTGATCAGTTTTACCAGTTTTTCCATTCATCAGTTTCATCCTCTTGACTACCAGCATCTGAGTCACATGTCTTTTGAGTACAGAGTCAATGCGGCTTTTACGGTGCCAATGTTTCAATAGTAAACCACTTGAACTGCAAAGCCAGCATTTGATCATGCATCACATCCATGACTCAGGGTTTACTCTCCATTGCTCCTGCCCCAGCTCAAGATGACCTTATCAGCACTCAAATAGGGGGTGAGCAGCCCAGCATGCCATCACCTTGGGCATGACAAATTGACCAGGCACACACAGGGCCTCAGGTGGGTTGGATGTCAGGATTCTGGGCCAAAGGGCAACAGATTAGCAGCCAACAAACTGAGCATTCATGGGCCCCCAGGGAGGCAGAATTATGGCAGAATTAATTCATATTTACTTTTTGCACACCCCACTGGCTTATTTTTAGACTACTGAGAATAACCCAGACACACAGCTGGCCTGCCCATTTAAGCTGATTCTATACATACTTGTACAAGCAGCCACCCTGCACCTGAACAAGCATAACTAATACCAGCAAAAATATACACCATACACAAGGCATCTAGGTAATCATCCAAAGCATAACCTGGCCCTTATCATATCCATCCATTTTTCATCTATATCAAGCACAACCCTACTGGTTTACAAGATGAACAAAACAAAAAACAAACAAATGTTCTAAGGCAGAGCTCACTGCTATTTACAAGGTGAAATGAAGACCAAGAATCTAAAACACCAAGGTGACAAAAGAGCAAAAATGTCATATTGTGCTACCACTGGCACAAAAAGATGTCAAAACAATCGATCCTTCAAGCTCCCACATCTTAATACCACATGCACCATACTACACCATGACACTATAAAGGCTGTAACTGCAGGAAACATGAGCAGCTAAGCCAAAAGGGCCTCATCCCTGCAACCAAATAAATATGTGCATAGAGCATACCAGTTCAATTCCGATTGGTAAGCTTGAGCTATGCAAACTGGAAAATATGAACTATAATAAAGCTCATTAATATTTTCCGTGCCCGGCTTACAGTTGTTTGATACGTTGCCTAACAACTGCCACGAATCCCGTTACCAGTCGCTGACAATACAAACGGATATGAATACGGTGCCGTTGGACGAGAAATGAGCCCTTCTTTACGTACGTGCATACAGGCGCTTATCTAACTCACTTCCAACAAAAATAAGAGTGACACAAACAACATACACCTTACCAGCATGTACCTTGTAAGGCGTACTTGTGACTGCCGGCCGGGCCCCACGCGGTCGCATTCAGGCCCGCACGCACACACATTTGCTGATCACCGGCACTCAACGGCGACATTAAACGGCGCGAGAGCTGCATATTTGTCGCACGTTTACAAAAGACATCTGGCTAGAAAATTATGAATTCGGAATAAGCCGTCGCAGAAGCCATGGGGGCTAGAAAGGTGGTCAGAGAACCACAGGAAGGGGGTGGGAGTGCGCACATTGAGGTAATGGAAGAGTGCTGTGGCAGTCTGGACCCCCAGTACCAAACAGCGGGCCCTCCAACCTTATTCCAGCATGGGCCTCTTAAACCCAACTAGATCCTATACGCCAATTTTCTGATCATCCGCGGCGAATAGGGTTGTTGTTGCGTAAATGACGGTTCATGCGTCGACCCGGAGCCGAATGTGCGAGTCAGGAGGCCTCCCGCGACACGGAACGGACCAATGTGATGTGATGCGTCATCCCTCTAAGGGCCTCTGGATCGGGCAGGGGATGCCGCCCCGCGTCATCGGACGGGACTGCCAGAAAATGCACTGCGTTGGAACAGAATGGCCCCTCAGCCCTCGACCGGGAACGACAATGTGTGCCGTAGCGTGGTACTAAAGGGGGCCTCTTTACCGGACAGAAATAAGAGGTCTCATTAGTGTTGAATGGAGTGGGTCGAAATGAGTTCAAAACGCACAAGGCATCTTATGTTTCCTTCAGAGCGTTCATCATTTTTCAGAATCGACTAATGAAGCAAATGCCATCAAAAGGATTGAGCCTACGCGCCGGTTGCCGATAGTGTAGAGGTGAACGCGCCTGCGTTAACCACTGCGCGGCTGGGAAACTGTAGGGATTGAGTACGATTCCCGTCGGTGCCCTTTCTTCCCGTCAGGGTGGCAGGCTGGCGACGCCATATCTGGCCCCAGCAGCTGAGTGCGTCACTATGACACGCTCGTAATCTCAGGGAGCAAGGACTGCGATGGCTTGGGTTGCAGTTTTCATGAAACCGAACGTCGTTGACCACTGCAAGGTTGGGTTAGGTTAGGTTAGGTTAGGTTAGGTTAGGTTAGGTTAGGTTAGGTTAGGTTAGGCTAGGTTAGGCAAGGGGCGGGCGCCGAGCGCGCAACGATGACCATCGTAAAGTAATGTTTCTCAATGTCTTTAAAAATGAATTTGTGCAGCTCAAAGATTACACTGCACGATTCTTTTTACAGCTTTCTGGCTGTGATCTAGACAGATTAACAATTACGGCAAACACGGAAAAAGAGATCTTACCTTAAATCTTCCAGTTTCACCACCACGTTTCAGCACCACTTCGCGGTACTGTAAACACCAATAACTTATTGTCATCACTCTAGTTACCACGCAGGTGAAATATACACCCGGGACATCCTTAAAGGTATGATTTGGTATCCTAAAGCGCTCAAAGGCACTTCTTGAAATGTGTTACCATTTTCGTCCACCTGATGGCCGCGGTCTTGCATAAGCCGCGGGGCGACGCTGCGCGGACTAAGGAGACTGCAACGCCTGACAATGAGTTGCTTCATTGCCAAGGTATGCGAGCGCGCATGCTCCGAGCCAGGCTGCATGATTTGTACCATTTATCATTTTTGACTGAATGTTGAAGATATCCAGACAAGCATGGCCTGGTCATGGTAATGCAAGTTGTTGACCCATTTTTATATGTAATCTACGTTCGCGGAATCTTTGCCATGTCTGAACAGCCATTCTGACAAGGTTTCTGAGTTATATCCTTCTAAAAAGAGTCCAATGGACGATTGTAAAAAGAGGAGCGTCAACGATTTGTTTCACGCAGTCATTTAACGCATGATTATGTCAATTGATTTAATATCAGCCTAAAACAGAATAATCTCGTGGTAGCGTTTGGCCGATACTACGGCTATGGTACCAAAAAATGTGTAATATATATATATATATATATATATATATATATATATATATACATGCATACAATTTCGAAAAAGACATGACCTCAATAACAAGTGGGTCATATCCGGCGATTGCTTGGGCGTACTCACCTTTTATCGAAGCCCATTGTCAACTCTATGCCCCACCCTTGCTAATGCTCTGGCAGCGCCCCTAACAGGAGTATTGCACGGGCTTTATTTAAGAAAGTTCGAAAAGGGCCGAAGGGCCTTTCGGGACCAACACTCACGGGTCCACGGGACTGGCCGTATGCCACATAAAAGACGCCCGCCCGTAAGACCGTAACCTCAAATATCAGTCAGAAGGCCTCGGACATCGATTGGGAACCTCTGGGACGGTGCGGGCCCCTATTGTGACTAGAGACCACTAACGCCGAACGGCCGGCTTCGTGTCGGTCTGAGCCCTGGGGGTCAATTTTCCAAGCACGAGCAAGGCCAATTCCACGACTTGCATCAACCGGGGTCACTGAAATCATGAAGGCGTCGGTCAGGGGCTCACAACGCCTTTCGGAAGGTCCTTTGTCGGCAAATGGCCCGATTCGCCTGGGGCCGTGTTTGCGGAGGTCCAAAGAAGGGTCCGAAGGGCCCCTGTGGACCAAAGTTCAAAGGCCCGGCTATACCTGTTCCCGGACCCCAACGCGTAGTGCTGTGACCCAAAATCTTAAGACTTATTTGCCCAGCACGGACAAGGCCTGGGCCCGCGAGTTGTTATGTTCGCGGTCCCTGGGACAATGGCGGGCTCCTGTGCCAGTCAGGGAACACAAAGTCTAACACGGTTCCTGTGGCGGCAAATGGCTCCGAGACGGCCAGGAACCGTGTTTGAGGGGGCCTGTAAGAGAGCGTAGCGTATATCCGCCTGCACACGTCCAAAGACCGACTGGCGCCTGCGAGCGTCGGGTCCCTGCCGCCGCCTCAGCGGCCGACCCTTGACCCCAGGCGAATCGGGAGACCCTCGGTCACGTGACGCCCCCCAGCACCCATTCAGATGTAGAGCTAGGAAGACAGCGAGGGCGAGAGCGCACACCCCACACAATCACGCCACACCTCCACCTGACTGTAAGCAATCGTGCCACTACGCCAATCTACACACACTCGTAATCGTCAATGAGATCGGTGGGGCCACTGAAGCCGTACAACTCGACTGGTTGCCGGCGAGCGCGACCGCTCCTCCACGGTTCCTGCGACTTTCCCTGTGGAAGATCTGGCCGAGGCAGGTGGTAGCGCCACACCCCTTGCTGGGCACGAACAAGTCAGCTTTGCGCACGCCGCACTCATTCAATTCGTGCTCACCACAGCGCAATGAATGAGAATTCGTACTGGCGCTCGACACTTCATCGCGATCGCTCCACGATAGCGATGGGCGCTCAGCAGGGTCCGCGACCAACGGACTTGATGGTGTAGCAGGCGGATCTGAACCGCCCCCGTGGACCGATGATTCGACACAATGTTCGTCATCGGCAGCGTGCCTGTGTCGTCCCCAAACTCCTCACCCGCGCCGGGCATTCGGCTCCCGTCTGAGCCGTTCTGCTGGTTCCGGTGCCGCAGGCACCGCACGTGCGTGCATTTTACCCATGATACCCTGCCGCACGTGCATTTTTATGCGGACCTCATTTCGGTCTGCTCTTTTGAAAACTGATGAGGCCCCTTACGTTTCCATTCAAGGGCACCCGTGTGTTAGCCAAAGGAGGCACATTTTCATTCCCGGCCAAGGGCTGAGGGACATTCCGTCCCAGCGCATGGAGTCCACCGGCACCACTCTAGCGACACGGTGGCGAGATACCCTGGTTGGTCCGGAGGGCCTTAGAGGAATGCATCATATATTGGTCCCCTCCCTGACGCAGGAGACCCTCTGACCCAAATAGTGGGCCCCAGGTCGATGCAGAAGCCCTCGTTGACGTCGTATGATCCCGCACCGCCGCATTTCCCAAGAATTGGCACAGAGACTCCAGTTTGGCTCAGAGAGAATGCTCCACATTTGAAGATATTGAAGCAAGCATCAGATATGATGAGCTGACGTATAGCTATCAGCACACTTTCAGGGGGAAAAGGCTCCCCTTGAAAACACGATTTCTCTGTGTAGTAAATATGCTCCTCGAAACGTCATTGTTTGATTACGTCATCATACCTTGCACAACATCGATTGAGAGTCAGTTGGCCGGCGTTATGTATGGAAATTGCGTCCACGAACGCCAGATATGAACGACTCCACTTTCACATTTTGCTTGGCCTTGATCACCGCGTGACCAACGGAATGGCAAGATATGAATGACGTTTTGATGTCGTCATAGATGCCTGTATAACCTTGAAATAGTCTCCCCACAATAGTTTGCACATCTTCACGAGCGCGAAGTACGGGAGCTAAAAGGGTTAACCGATGGGATGGAGTGTTCTGCGTTCGGTTCTGGTGATCCTGACTGACACGCGGCCCGCACATTGTTTTATTGCGGATCCATCGTAGGCTCTCATATCTCCTTTCATTGTCAGAGGGCCTCGATCAACTTAAAAGGCCCTCTGGCATTCGAGATGTAGCGCCTGTCCTTGTTCAGGTAATGATCCCCTGCCCGCTCGGGTCCCCTTGCCGACACGGACCTCTGTTGGCCTCTTAGGGCCACCGACTGGCGAGGAGCCATCACTGTTTTAAGGACCCGATCAATGGAAATCGCGGCCCCGGCGTCGTTCCGGTTCGCCCCCCCCCCCCCCCCCCCCCAGGGCTTACACTAGCTCGAAGCTAGCTGTTCGGTGCTGGTAGCCTCTGGCCGAAATAGGGAACCGCATTGTCCCAGAGGCTTTTCAATCGGTGCAAGAGGCCCCCTGACTGGCATCTGAGGTCACGGCCCGCCGGTCCGGAGGCCTCAATGTGACTTACAGCTAGCCCCTTCTACCCTTCGGCCCTCCAAGCGCGCCCTGGATCGTCGGTCTCAAAAGACCCGGGGCCCTCGGGGGCCCATCAATCACTGCATTTGGTCGACTCGGAGTCCCTTACAAACGCGAGGCCTCCTGTTAGGCACCGTGGCCGTCACAGGGCCCCTCATTGACCCGGGGACCTAGACCAATGTAAATTGCGGACCCGTCCTTTCCCTGCTTTGGAAATGGATCCTCAGGCCCCGACCGACTGTATGGTACTGGTGGTGCCTGACGGACCTAAAGACCCTCATAATCTCAGGAAACCCAGTCGGCTCAAAGAGCCCTCTGGCTGGCATTTAAGGGCCCGAACCCCCATGCGAACTCCGGCAAGCCCTTCGGGTCCTCCCATCGGGCCTTTAATTGCCTGTCCCCTAAGGGGGGGGGGGGAGGTCACGTGCCCTGTGTACCCAGCCCCTCCTCCTTGTCAGAGACACGTGAAAGACGACAAAACAAAACAACCATGCGGCAAATACTTCCCTAGCGCATTATACAATAGTGAACACGACTTTGCCATCGATGTCTCTTCTGCCTGTCCGTCAAAACGATGCGGAATTGAAAATCGCCGAAACGATTCAAATAAGACATTATAAGTTCAGGTTTCTCAGGCTGACATTACGGGGCCTGGTACAGACCAGGAACCACTTAAAAAACACACATTTTCTCGGAAACATCGGTTGGCGATGCGACTAATGCTTGCTTATTAGTCATTTAACCATTACTTCCTGATATATTTAACGTCGATGCCTACTTGCGCAAGAACTGTGAACTCGTAATGCTGTAATACCAGTAGCTCCAGCCCATTCTCGCCAATACCGAATAACTAAAAATGCTTACACCTTTAACGCTACGCCTTCTTCCTGGGTTACTGCAAAACCTGACCCATATGCCACCGTTTAGCACAATTTTTCCGAAAGCTCCTCGAGGAAACGCAACGCGAAAACTATGGTACTTGTTGAAGTGCTCTCCTGGACGACTTTTGTTACCTGAGTCAAACAAGAGAGCCCATGGCTGAGGTAGGTGCGCGTTTTCATAGACTTCATTCTTTCGTGACCATCGATTTTCATGTTCAGCGGCAAACATGTGGCGTGCATTGATGACAAACCACTTGCGTGGATTCATCTAACGTCTCGACCATCGAGCGAAGGCGCACACAGCGGCACAAACCCGCCATCCATCTGATGTTTATTTCATAAAATACTTCACAAATGCCCCGAAACTTACGACGCAGAGAAGAAAACTAAGAAACGTGCACAGCAAGCAACGAACGGGACGCAACCATCACCACCACGGAGACTCGCACACACGCTCACGACCTCACATGACCCGCGCGCACCACGTCCGTCGCCACAACACTGACCTCGCACCACATGAACAGACCGGCCCGGCCCGGCTGGCTCTCCATTCATCTGCTACTGTGTGTGAGCAGCGGCATTAGGGGGGGTGGGGCCGCTGCAGGCCTGTGGACGCGCCCGTCGCGTCGCACAACTGGTGTTACATTCCCTTGTGCGCAGTGTAAGGGGGACAGACGCGGCGTATGGAAGAGGGGTTCTGAGGTCGTATATTTTTTTGTTTGTTGTCGCATACATTGTCGTTTATTATTGTTGTATATGGGCGTATTGTCGACCCGACGGTACGCACACGCCAGGTGCAGGGAGCGCCTGCCGCCCCCGCCGACTGGCGCTGAGTGGGTTTGTGGGTGGGTTTGGGTGTGTGGGTTTGATAAGTGGGTGGGTTTGCACGTCTGGACAGCTCGCTGGTATACGCGCGCCGGTGCAGGAGCGCAGCCGGCGCCACCGCCGACCCCCGGTGTCGCACCTCTCGCTCACACAAGCTCTCGCACACATGGAATATAGCCGACGCGCGGAGTACCGGCACAGCGGAGCTTCGTCCATCCCACCCATCCCAGACCACAGCGGAGAAAACGAGCCCTCGTGACCTGTTGCATGTATTTCTCCCTCGTTCGCCATGCCCTTGCTGGGCTCGTACCAGTCCCCCCCCCCCCCCCCCCCCACCCGTGTGGCGACACCGGCCGGACGATGCGGGCCCGGCAACTCGTCTTAGCCCTCCAGCTCCGATTCATCCAGCTCGTCGTCGGTGGCGAACTCGTCCACGTCACTCTCGTCGTCCGACTTATCCTCCTCGTCGCTAATATCCCACTGCGGGTGCTCCACCGGTATCTCGTACGCCTGCTTGACGTCCAGCTGGGGAGCGGGGCGAGGCGTCACTAGCCGACACGACGGCGCGGAGGGAGCGCCACGGCACACGACGGTGTTGGACAGAACGGCGATTGTGGAGACAGTGACAAGTCGCCGAGAAAACTGGATGAATGACGCCAGACACAAGGCTAAATTGGCCAACTCGCCAATGACAACGCCGAAGGCCTTGGAATTATCGCTTCATGAGCTTTTCCCCCACAAGTAACTATACCCGCAGACAACAATCTGGGAACGCAGGCAACGGCCGGGCAGTGCGAATCGACGACCAGCTACCCTCCCGGATCTACCGACAGGTCTCACCTTGATATCTTTAGCCTGGTCGAAGCCCAGGTAGGAGTCGGACCGGAGTACGACGGTGAAGGTGTACAGGCCCGGCTTGCGCGGCGCCGTGAACTTGAGCTCCACCTCGGCCTCGGTCACCAGGTCGGTCACTTGGAACGGCGCCGTCACCAGTCCCTTGTTCTTGCGGTCGCACACGAACACCCACCAGTACTCTTGCTTCTCGTCGGGGAAGTGCGGCGCGTGCACGGCGTGCGAGACGCGCGACTTCGTCTCCAGCGCCTTGCCGCGCTTGTTGATGCGCGACTGGAAGCGCTCCCACTCCTCGTCGTCGGTCTCGCGCTCGTCGGCCGTGCGGCCGGGCCGGCCGGCCGTCGCCGACTCGTCGTCGCTGTCGGAGCCGGCGCCGGACCGGTCCGACTCGTCGGCCGAGGCGCGCTCGTCGTCGCTGGCCGACGCGTGCTCCTCAGAGCGCTGACCGAGCACACGGCGCGCGCCACGTCACGTCTGCAGCTGGTGGCCTCCGCCGGCCGCGCACGGAACAACAATATCGCAGTGGTTTCGTCGATTCATCAGTCTGATGTTGCGTTGCACACGTCGTTCCACATCGCAATGAATATTCAGTTTCAGCGTGACGTAAAACGACGAAATGCCATGTAACGCTGTGCCTTAGCCATCATTAATGTCAAAAATGCCAAACAATACCAAATGATTGTATGACACATGTCACGACCCACCTCACTAGAAGGCTTCGGTGATTCGTCCGGCTTTTGAGACTTCACTTTGGTGTGCTTCTTGGCCGGCTTCTTGCCCGTCTTGGCTTTTTTCTTGTTCTTCATCCAAACAGGAGTTTTATTCTGAAAAGTATAAAAAGTATACGGATGCATGTATAGAATGCTGCCTTCACATCGAGTAGTGACTTGCGACCAAACCGGGCTGATGTGCCATGATTGCTCACCTGTGATTTGTACTTTCAGCGCAAAGACCTTCCTGATTCCACCGACATCATAACTCTCGGAGAGTCAGCGTCGAGGACGGCAAATGAAAAGGAAGAGCTCAAGAAGACCTGTTGGATGTAAATATGCTATACAGACTGTCTATGCTCTAGAAGTAGCCCCGTGCTCTTCACCGCCGCGCTTGGCGTTTCCTCCGTTCGATCGTCGGCATACCGGCTTTTTACCCTCCCCCCCTCTGTGGCAGTGAGCGACACTCATCGCCTCTGGAGGCGACACTCGCCGCATTTGTCGGTTGTCAGTGCCTGCCTCGTGCGAGCGTGACCAGTACCTGCTCGTGTTTGGCCTCGTCTCCAGCACCGTCCTCATGGTCCGGCTCCACCTTGTCCGGCTGCTCCTGCTGGTGCGCCTCTCCCAGGTCACGGCGGGTCAGGCGGACAGTCACCGTGGTGATGGCCCCGGCAGTGAACTCGCCCGAGTTCTCGTCATCCAACACTGCCGGACCACAGGGGGGGTCAGTCATCCAGCATCGCCTGACCACGGGGGTGGCAGTGCACCACACGGGCTCAGTCATACAGCATTGGCCGACCACAGGGGTGGCAATGGACCACACGGGCTCAGTCATCCAGCATTGGCCGACCACAGGGGTGGCAGTGGACCACAGGGGCTCAGTCATCCGGCATTGGCCGACCACAGGGGTGACAGTGGACCACACTGACTCAGTCATCCAGCATTGCCTGACCACAGGGGTGGCAGTGGACCATAAGGGGTGTCAGTCATCAGCGCTACCATCAAACACATTTAGCGGTCACTGCCACCAACTAGGTCCAGATTTGTTTCGTGACCGTTTCTGTCCTTAAAACTAATAGTGAAAAATTGTCTGACTTTCCACCTTTCTTTGATGCCAAATTTGCTGAAGCACCCACTCGCACCGAAGAAAAATACACTTCCTGCAAGCACCGCAAGTACCAAAAACCCAATAAAAATAACATCAGAACATCTGTCATGTTATTGTTATCCTGATGATAGGCCGCTTGCTAGCGTGCGATGTACCAGCTGGCCACGTTTTGCCAAGACGGATCTGATGTCCCGAATACACATAGTTTCTTAACGTAGTGCTTAGTCATGACCGTGGGACTTACAAATTTCTCCCGTGGCTGATACTCTAGAAAGGGCGCCAAAACCGGGGTGAACGTGAAAGTGAAGCCCGACATGGTTCTTGCTGTCCTCCTTGAAGACGGCACGGTGGTGATGGAGGAGCCGGTATCTCCAGAGGATTCTCGTATTTCATTCGAACTCACTCAGGAGTCTCCCGCTCTACCACTTATCTCACTCCCTCTTCTCGCCTCAACCCACCAACCTTCGGCATCAAGCCAGGCGTATGCACTCCCTGCAGTCCGGCATCAATACAACCTATGCTACCAACAACACTTAGTTTGTTATGTCAGCTGGACCCTGTGCTTCAGTGGGGGAAGGCATACGCCTCGTGAGGGGACGACTCCCGACCACTGCCGTGCCGTCTTCAAGAAGGGTATCAGCGACCATGTTGGTCTCCACTTTCTCTCTTACACGGTTTTGACCTTCTTCCTAAGGATCTTATATTTTTAGAAGTAAATATTACGGGAGTGTACAACAATGTCGAACGAGAGATTAAATAAACAAAATTTAGTCGGTACATCAAACCTGTCATGAACAAATACGTAACGAGCTAGTCTCTTGTCAGTTGGCAAGCGGTCTGACATCGGCGTGGTGTGAGCATCATAAATGTGACTTTATATTGAGCGAGTATCTCGGTGCTTTTTGTGTTCGCAGGACGAGGGTGTTCTTCAATGGTGAAGGGTGTTTCCACGTATTCGGTCAATTGATGTTGTGCATCATTTGAATCGTAAGCCAACGTGTTCTGTGTACGACGAATAGAAACCAGCACTGATGTTTACGACTGGCATGATGAAAACCAGAAATCGGGATAAACTGTTTTGTGGTAAACGAATGGGGACCAGGAGCTCGTGCCTGGCGTTTATAAACAATAGATGAGAGCCGGTAACCATGCTCTTCGTCTGTGAAAATCAATGAGGACCAGGGAACTGGGCCTAGCGTTGGTGTCAGGCCCGACAGGCACCATGAACCATGACCTGGCGTCTCTGAAAGAGCCGATGGTCAAATAGAGCAAATGGTCGCCAGGAATCCGAATTTGGTGTTTGTGGAAGAGCATACGGGAGCTGGGAGCCAGTGCCTGGTGCTTGTCAGAGAACCAACGATAAACACAAACCAGGGCATAGCATCGCAAAGGCGCCAGCAGGAACCGCGATCTGATGTCTCGCTTCCACGCAGAGACTAATAGAAGCCAGAAACAAGCCGCGGAAACCACGTGTTTGCTCTACTCCAGCCCCGCCCCCCAACTTGAGGTAAAAACTCTATCCGGACGGCCTCGCCGCCCAGGTGACATTTCCGAGCACCGCTTCGGCGTCTGAGAGATAACCCGTGACCTTTCACTGGGCCGACCGCAAAAAATGTCGGCCGTCACTGGCCGATGGAGCCGCTACACCCGACACTCGAGCAGCGGCCCCCACTGCCGACCGCCGCCGCCGCAGACGGCCGCCCGGCCCCGCCAGACGACGGCATGCCCCGTCAGACGACGGTGTTACGCGTACAAACATGGGGAAGCCGATCCCAGGCAGCATATCGGCCCATTGGCATGCGACATAAAAATGGCAGGGCTGAGCTACTGGATATGAAACCAGTCTGAGCCGATAAAAGGCACGGGCCAAATCGGCTAACTGACGTAAAGTTATCCTTCAAATCATACACCCATCCACAGACCTCTCAACACATCCGTCCGATAATATTGATCGCCAAGTTATTCATCGGCGCGCGTACGTACCAAGGCCATCAGCAGCACAGCCGCAGCAGGTGGAAGCCTGCCAACCCGTCGGAGCGTCGCCACTCACCACGTGACGGCACACACCGCTGGGTGGTGCCCGTCCTAGCCGCCGCCTTACCCTCGGACGTGACGTCCATCGTGACGTGCGGCATGTGCAGCAGCACGTTCTCTACGTTCTGCGCCTCCTCGTCCCCCAGGTTTCTCAGCACGTGACGCCGGTCCAGCGGGTCGAGCTCGGCAAACTGCTGCAACGTCTTCACGTTGATCTTGCGCTGCGAAGACGAAGAGCGGTCAGGGTAGCAGGGCAGTGAGGGCTGGGATAGTGGGGCGAGAAAACTGGAGCCTGCTGGCCATCTTGGTCCATTTTGAGCAAATCGTCAATGGCATTGATATGCTTCAAGTCCATACATAAAGCAAAAAGTGAATCTCGATGTTACTGCAATCGTACATGCCTATTCCAGACACGAACCCAGAAGTCCACATGTGATACCAAAAGTGAACAAGGCTCAGTCGAAGCCGTTATATAATACGCCCCGCGCTAAAATGCCGATGCGGTTTGCAAGCCAACGGCAACGGCTCGCCACTTCAAAGCTGGCTATTCCAACCGTTTGGGGCCGCAGTACACCCGCTTGTCGTTGGCCAGTGAGCATGAACCACGCACGGGTTGATATTTAAATTTGCGGCCGCCTAACATCATTCCCCGCTTTCCTATCGTGTGCCGGCCGAGGGGCGAGAGCAGCGCTGCTGCAAGCGGCGCACACATTCCGCAGCGTCGCCGGATGGCGGGGCAGTGCGCGCGCGACCCGTGCGATACGATCGGCCGCCGGCTGCCCGGCAGACTGGCGCCCGCGTCACCGGCGCAGATCCGGCCCCAGCGCACCGCCCGAATCCGACCGTCACGCCTCTCACGTTCATGTGGGGTCAAACAAATGCCACCGTACTTGCTTGAGCACATTTCACACGTCAAACGTCAAACATTTCATCTTTTGGCCGGTGAGTTGCTCGGCAAATGATCCGACACACATGCGTCGAATCATTAGTGTCCGATCCTTGCGAAGCGTGAACATGTGGCCGACGCCCGCTGCATGTCGCGGCTGAGGGTATTCCTCCGCGCGCACAGCACGCTCCCCTCCCCTGCCGGGACGGAGGGGCGCGGACACCGGTGATGATGGAGAAGCGGCACGTGACCGGCTGGCGGCGCTGGGGGCCGACGGCATACGGCGAGCGGCCGGTGGAACAGCGCGTCGCCCCCGGCCAGCCGCAGCACGCGGGGCCGGGGCACCCGCATGGCAAGAGGCGTCAGAAGCCTCACAACCGCTGATACAACCGTGCTACCAGTCGGTGTCCCCAAGCCACAGCGAATGTGACGAGTGACGCTATTGCATAGCTGGAGGTGCACACGTTTTCCACTTAGCAGCAACCGCGTGAGCCCCTGCCCATCGGAAGGCCAGATCGCCGCCGCCCACCTTCTTATCGACGAAGTAGCGGAGAAAGGTCTCGTCGACATGCGGCAGCTGAAGCAGCACCGACTTTGAGTCCCAGAGTGCCTGCACCACCATCGGGCACAGCTTCATGGTGTTGTCGATGGTCTCCAGGCTGGGCAGGCGCGAGATACGGCCGGCGTGCGCCAGCATCACCAGCTGGCTGATGCACGTCACCATCTCCTGGATCAGGTACGGGCACTTGCGCACAATTTCGCTGCCTGTCGGGGAGGGCGCACGGCGCTGTCAGGAGCTTGGTAGCCAAAGTTAGTGTCCTACGATAAGCGTGTTCTACCACATGTTCTACGATAAGCGTCATTTGAAACCAGCGCACCGTTCTAGCTCCCAGTTCGGAAATGGTTCTATAACACCTATATGTCGCATGGGAATGTACTTGCGTGCAGGGCGACGGTAAACGTAACACAATACAACCACGAACAACTGCCGTCAGCGAGATCTGCTGGAACTGCAGGGCCTGGAATCCCTACGGTCCTCCTCCTACGGTCCTCTGCACACCCAGCGCGACCAGACCAATCACACGGTCAACGTCAGCCCTCCGCTCGGCCACCAGCGAGCCCGTCTCCCATCGGCCTGTGCGCGGCTGTGCCGCAGGCCCGTCTCGGTCGCGACGTTTGGGACTTTACAAACACATCAGCTACCGAGGCCGTGCGGCGGCCCGCCTCCGCCAGCGACGCCTGTCCGCACCGCTCACCTGTCCACCTCCAGCGTGGCCGGCGGCAGAGGCAGGCGCGTCAGGTGCACCCGCCTCCGCCAGCGACGCCTGTCCGCACCGCTCACCTGTCCACCTCCAGCGTGGCCGGCGGCAGAGGCAGGCGCGTCAGGTGCACCCGCCTCCGCCAGCGACGCCTGCCCGCACCGCTCACCTGTCCACCTCCAGCGTGGCCGGCGGCAGAGGCAGGCGCGTCAGGTGCGCGTGCAGCAGGCAGCGCGCCTTGACCGAGTACTCGAAGCACAGCGGCCGCTCCTTGTTGTTCTCGCTGAGGTTGGGCAGCCGCTTGATGAGCAGCGGCACCTCGAAGTTGTCGCTGGGCCGCATCTGTACCTCTGAGTTGTGACCGCGCTCGAACTCCAGCGAAGCACTCAGCACCATGAGCACCCGGCGCAGCATCATGTGCGGCGTCTTGTGGAAGAAGTAGAAGTACAGCTGGGTGGTGTCCAACAGCACCTGTCCGGGGAGCGAGAACATCGGATTTAGCGGTCTCGATCGATCCAGGCGATCTACGCAGGCGATCTAGTTCTTATATATATATATATATATATATATATATATATATATATATATATATATATCCTCAGTTCTGAAGAAGGATCACCACAGCTTACGACACCATGGACAGTAGACCACTCACCCTTAGGCACTTGACGCCACTCTGCAAATTACACGCCACTCTTTCCAGTGCAGCATCCATCCAAACGTTCACTACCAAACATAGTGTAAAATGGCACCAGAAAGCCATCCACTCATGGTCTGCATTCATCAATTTTAAGAAGCCACAGCCGACGGCGTCAGCAGCATCTCTCGACCATGAACGGAGCGCCCACCTGATCTCCGGAGAACTTGATCGAATTGTACCACCAGACGCCAACCACCGTTGGCAGGGCGATCATGAAGACCAGCGTATACACGCCCAGCACCCAGACCGAGTTCTCCTTCTGCACAATCCACGAGGGCAGTGCGATGCCGAAGTTCATGACGCCCGGCCCGTCTGGGTTGCCGTACAGCTCCCAGTTGCGCCGCGCTACGTCGTCGGTCAGAGCCTGGTACGCTGCAAGGAAGGAGGTGTCAGCCGGCCGCCTCAGAGGATGGGGTCATCAGCCGGGTGGGGCGTCGCAGGCTGCACCAGCGTCGCCAACAGGGGAGAGGTGTCAGCCGGCCGCCTCAGAAGATGGGGTCATCAGCCGGGTGGGGTGTCGCGGGCTGCACCAGTGTCGCCAACAGGGGAGAGGTGTCAGCCGGCCGCCTCAGAAGATGGGTCATCAGCCAGGTGGGGTGTCGCGGGCTGCACCAGCGTCGCCAACAGGGGAGAGGTGTCAGCCGGCCGCCTCAGAGGATGGGGTCATCAGCCGGGTGGGGCGTCGCAGGCTGCACCAGCGTCGCCAACAGGGGAGAGATGTCAGCCGGCCGTCTCAGAGGATGGGGTCATCGGCCAGGTGGGGTGTCGCGGGCTACCACCAAGATCGCCAACTACGCGAAGTGAAACGGCTAAGGGCCTAACAGCTTTGCTAGAGCACCTGCTTTCCGACTCACCCAGCGTTATCGGGGAGGATTCAAATCGCTCCAGCCGCTCGAGCTGTATCTATCCCTGGCTGGGATGGCCTGCAGCCGGTGGCAGCGGTCGCGCTATGGCTCATCTAATGCCAGAGGGCCGGACGGACCGTGCCACGGATTACGGCACATTCAGCTTTCGCCACAAAATCTGTGGTCTGCTTGGACTGCCAACATTGGTCGTTGGGATTAAAGCTCACTCACCACACGCTGCTTTGACCACAGAAATATATGCAATTAAAGGGCTCGGAAAACAACACAAGAAAAAAACAAAACACAGGGCACATGCGAATTCAGTCCTGCCATCGCTGCGGCTGTCGGCCTTTTGTTCGGTGTGGCATAGTTGAGTTACCTTTGCTAATCTTGACGAACTTCTTCTCGTCTCCTCCCTTATCGGGATGCTCAGTGAGCGACAGCTTTTTGTAGGCCTTCTTGATATCCGCCTTGTTCGCTCCCTGCAAACGTTTGCCATGATTACGCCAATATCATATAAGATTATTAGGCCATGCATACCAACTACGGGTTATGGTTCTGAAACTTATGGTGACCTTCCTAGTGTACCACGCAAGCACCTCACAGGGCACGAAAAACCAGCCGGGAAACAGGCTTTGTCGCATTAAGAAGTCGCTTTAAGTTAAGTTACTGTGGCGCAATCTAATCCAGCTGCAATCAGTACGTGCGTGTAATGTTAACAGAACGTCGATTTGACGAAAAACGCGTTTCCGACATGCATTCATTGAATTTTTATCCCTGTATGAATAGAATCATACGTTCCGGACAAATGTCATGGCGTTCGACCACTAGCGAAGTGTTAGCGATCATTGTAAGACGTACCACGGGCATACGACATCGAGAGCAATGTAACATGTTTGATGCATGCCTCCGCAGACCCAAAAGCTGCAGATTACGGACATGACTGATCGCGAACAGCTCCAGGACCCCTGTTCGTGCTTGCAACTTCGTCACCCGCCCGGCTGGCCACCTGTTCGCCAGCACACTCCGTTCGCGAACCGTTTGTATTCGCGTTTATTACTTAAAATTGACGAACATCCAGCCTGGTTTGAAAGCCAGCCACTGACGCATGTCTGATTTGCCGTGACAGGAGGTTAAACGTCGCCTGGTGCCGCCGCCCACGCGGCCGAGCGAGCGCGGTCGGGTCCGAGCGCGCGGCGGGGAGGGGTATGTCGTACCGGTGACACGCTGAGGATGTCGTACGGGTCGAAGTTGGCGTACTCGTAGTCGAACTCGCGCACCCTCTGCACCAGCATAGCGACAGCGATCCACCCCAGTACCAGCAGCACCTGCCTGAGAGGTCGGGAGGCGGTGTCAGCTCGGCTGACGGATCAGGCCAGATCACGACCAGCTGCTGCTGTGATCTGCAGCAGATCTGTCACGGCCCGCCCGATCAAGGTCAAGGCCGGGTCAAGGTCTGGATCAGCTGGGATCACCACTACCTGCGTCTGTCAGACTGTGAGCCGCACCATCGGAGGTGGGGTCAGCAAGGGTCATGGTCCGGGCTAGATGTGGACCCACATCAGCATCCCGCCGTCTGTGAGATCGCGGGTTGGGTCAGACCGTGGCCAGGGTCCGGGTCGGCTGGGGTCACATATAACATCAGATCGGGCGTATACGGAGGTAATGGTTTGGAAGGATACGTGAATATGAGGTAGAACCATGGCAATGTTGTGTGCTTGAGGCTCTGCAGAAGACGAGAACATGTATCCCAACACTATTTGGTAACATAAGTTGATGGCGGAGACACCGACGTAACTTACAAACCGTAGAACAACGTATCCGATCATTCATGCCCGGCTTCTTGTCATAACCAACCAGTGCAGTCGCAATTTTACAAAAGCCAGTACATGTTTTCACAAATCAACCCACTTATCGCACCGTTCCATAGTGCACACAGCGCGCAAGGTCATCGCTACCACCCTTAACCGCCCACCGCCTTCAGACCAACCCCTAGACCGGTTTTTTAGCATACGCACAGGAGGGGCACGCTACAACTACCATTTTTAGCTAGTGTATCTGCAATCATTATGCGGAGTTCAGTGGAGTCACCATCCCTCCAGAACCGCTGCATTCCGCCACACGGCAACCTCCGAAGCGAATGCGCTGCATTCTTATACCAAGCGCACTTGCCGTTGATGTGAAAAGGAAACATGTTTTTATCAAAGATCAGGATTAAGCAAAACGGACGAGAGTGGGCGCCGCGAGCACTCGCAATCGCCGGTCCTATCGCGAAAAAAGGCTGCGAGCTGCTGCAGCGCCACCACTCGCGTTCTGAATGCACATGGTGATTACATAAGTAGTGTATAAAAAACGCTCATTGACTTCGTAAAAGCTGCCACTCCAGATACTAAGCCGACATTCACGACTTCGGGAGATATATCACAGCTGAAGAGGATGGAAGAGCCGTGGACGAATCAAATACATGCGACGAAACGTGTGACAAGAGGTCCAGTGACCCGCATTGACTATTCAAATGCAGATGTACGTTGAACGACTTGAGTGCACATGTCCCCAACTACATCGGTACGGAAATGCCAGCAGTCCGTAACCTCATCAGCAGGCACGCTAAATAAAGAACTTGCCATTTATGGAAGCAGCGAGCATGCACAAGGTCTTTGGAAAACCCGCGATTAAGTGGCAAGCACCGACATTTGAAGGCGTAACGACGTCGAAGTCTACGAAAAGACCGCCGCCGCTGGGGATTTTCCATGCACCCAGCCGCAGGGGCTACGTAGCGTCACCCGCCTCTCACTCTGGCAGCAAGGGCGGGCACCACCGGAAAATCAGAACACTGAGCCAGCACACAATACATACTAAGCACGCATCTCTCGCTTACACTGTCCGCCGTTTCCATTTTTTCGAAGGCTCCTTCAGCTTCAGCAAGTGCCGTTTTCTCACACAGCCACCGCACTGGCACAGGCTGACGTCCCTTGTTTCGGACACGTCGTCTGAAAGACAGCAGCACCAGGTGAGCTGGCCGTCCGGCCACGACACAACTCAGCGGGACGTCGCCGGCTTAGGTCACTTGCCCGGGAAGCGCGACAACGTTACAGCCTATTGATGCACGGATAATTTGTTCCATTCAAAGCTGTGACCATGCCTCGCAGACCGTGCGTGTTCCAGGGCCCATTCTGGCTTTTCACCATTATGGAAAGAGCGCGTCCCACAGAGGCGTCAGCGCGGAGCAGCCACCCAGTCACCATTGTGGCCTGACTAATGGGCATGCTATGTCAACAAACCATAACAGGCTATGGCTATGAGATCATTCCTTTGCGGGAAATGATAGCTCTGCTACCCTGGAATCAGATGAAATGGTGCAGCAGTATACCTCAGAGCATCTCAGCCCTCTGCAGCCGTAATTATCACCACTTCCTGGATAGGCTCACCTATCACCTATCACCTGGATAGGTTCATCTATCCAGGAAGCTCGTGGGTAAAGACCACGACAATATACACACTTAACAGTGAAAGTTGGTGTGCTCGAAGTTCATAGGAAATAAGTTCGTTGAACAAAAGTTCGTCACAGCAGTCTGTTATGTTGGGATTACATTTAGCTTGCACACAGTTTGAGAAGTTATGTGTAAGACAGACGTTAGCTAGTAAAGGACAAAACATAGTCAAAAGACAAAAGCTCATCGTTCGTTTACGACCAAAGTTCGCATCGGACAAAACGCCGCAAGGACAAATTTCGGCGTAGTTAAGCTAGAATAGGGCAAATGTTTGTGTAGGACAAAAGTGTGACGTGCATAATGTCATAAAGGGGAAATGTTTGCCAAAGGCAAAAGTATGCCTGGTGCAAAATTTCATCTTGCACAAAATTTTTTTGGAAGGGTTTGTCAAAAGCAAAACTTGTAAGCAGCTTTGATGTGGTGAAACTAGTAACCATGTGTCGTCGTATTGTTAAGAAGGCAGATGCTTGGGTTCAAAATGTGTAGCTTTTCAGCATTAAAATGACAACCAAACAACATGCTGTGGTTAAGTACTAATAGTGTGACACAAATTTTGCTGATATTGGTGATATTACAATTGGATCAAGTTGGCAAAAACACATGCTAGGTCATTGTTCATACAGTGACAAACTTTTAACCTAACACAAATTTTACATGGCTCTTTAAGAAAAGCTTACCTTCTTAACATTGCTCTCAACCTCACTTTTGTTCTCACAAGAAACAGGTTGCAAATTGAGTGAGATATGTATGGTTTGCTGAAAAATGGCTCAGCCCAAAAAATTCCCTTTCCAGTATGACAAGGAATTATGTGTGAACACACTGCTGACCTATTAATGCAAGTGATATGATATTGTCTAAGATGTGACTGGAAGGTCATGTCTTTTCCATCATTGTCTGCCAGCAATCCATCAATTGCTTAAAAAGTACATCCACATGTTACAATTGTAAGAGCAAATTGTGTTCAAATTACCTAACATATGATATATGTATATGCATAATTTGCTGTTTATAAAAATAGCAAGTGCAACTGAAGAAACACCATTAGCCGATTTTACAGCAGTGAAAGTGCCATGCAAATACACTTTACTGCTGTTGGTTGCCATGGAAACCAACTCTGAAAACAAACAGTGTAAAACAGTCAGCTGTAAGATGCATTTTGGCTATGTGAGTAGCAGATAGATGATAGCATGTTCCATGTTTCCTGTGGAAGAAAACACAAGTTGAAAAATGAAGATGCAACCATGCCACAGTGGACAGATTACACAAAAAATCAAATACAAAATACAATATATCTCTACATACTGGCACTCCCAAGGAAGTCTGGCTTGGTATAACACCAGGGTGGGGGATAGGTATGAGATGACTGGGGCTTTTTGTCCTAGCCAGTTAGTGCCAATCAGTCAGGCATGTCCTTAGTTTACCATGTCTTGCCTTTGCTTGGGGGTAAGCGGTTGAGGGTAGTCATTACTGTCGGCACTTTCGCTTCATATGTTGGACAAGTCCCCAGCTATGCATGCATGCTACTATGCAACTGCACTCTGCATACTGCACTCTGCACTCTGCACACTTTGCAACCATGCATGCAAATCCCAAGCACACAGGTTCTCCATTTGCATAAGCCTAAGTTTTTGCTGTGGGATGGATACTGGGAGTGGAACAAATATTTTTCATAGCCCACATTCTTTCAGCCTGGCATGGGGAATAAAAACAGAGCTCATACCTCCTTCAGCACCTGTGTCAGAGGGGCAGGTTAAATATGAGATTCCATCATGGCCCATAACATAAATATAGCCTCAGCAGCTACAGACAATCCATGATTATTTCTGCAATACTTGCATTATATCCCATTGTTAATTTTTCAGCATGAGAATAACCAACAACCATGGGCATATCTGCACTCTTCCATTTACATAGGTGATAGATAAACCTTATGGTGCCTGATTCACAACCTGGTATATGAGTTGAGTGTGTTGCATGCTAGACATTGTACACTGAACATAAAATGTGTCTAAGGCAGTCACTGTACCAAATGCATGGGAAACACCTTACCTTTCTTATCATCTTTAAGGAAATATACGTAGGAGGCTGGAGCCAATACTAGCCCCAGGAAGCAAAGAAGGAAGTAATAAAACGTTGAGCCACTTTCATCATACTCGAACTTTTGGCCTGCCATGATGCACAATCAATATGTTCGTACTGTGCAAGAACAGATGCACACCAAGATATGCCGCACTTCCCAAAGGACTTCGAAGGACGCAGATTAATTTGAAACCTTCTCGTATCGGTTCTTTCTGCGGACGGCCTGTTATCGACTTATACCACCCAACGCACGCTCCGTTATTACTTTACGGTTATTTAACAGAACGCCGCGCCTGACTCTGACACGGCACCGCAATAATATACCGTTATTTGCCTCTGATGCGTTATGACTGACGCATGTAAACGTCATCGCTCGGTCATACGTTTTTCACTAAAGTAATGCCAGCTTCGGTGACAAACGTCGAACGACTTACGCATAACCCTTTTTGTGAGCTTGGTTCATGCATTAGCCATAACAGAACACGCATCAAAGCACAATGTGTCTGTGGCTGATTGCTGTGCAATAGACATGTGACCTACGCGGTCGGCGAGGAGCTTTGTATTTTTCTTGGGGGGGGGGGGGGGGGGAACTCATGAACCTTACTCATCCTGTGTTCCAGACCGTTCCAGACGCGTTTCGTCATGGATTTCGCTCACCTCATTGTGGTCACAACTCAAACTTGATAAGACAGAAAGGTCATCAGCCCCTGTTCTTTGGTATGATGAGTTCAACACTATTGTAATGGATCAACGACTACTAATATGCTAGGACATACTTTAAACGGCGTTCTAGTGCTAAGCATGGATTCTATTGGTGTCATTCAATATTTCGAGACGTGCTTTCTTCAGGTTTCGTCCCACGATTCATATGTTCCAAATAGGTCATACAAATGGATTTGTCGTCATCTTTTGGTTCGAAAAATTCCTGGAGAAAAGGCCACTTGGTCGCTGCACCTCCTTGTCAAAGTGGACGCTGCACGTGACCACAAATGGTGCCATTTCCAGCCTGTTCCAAGAGCTGCAGGAAGGCAACGATTTGAGCAGCTGTTGGGCTTCTCCCGGATGTACCCACCACTGGGGCTAAAGGAGATAGTCCGTGAAGTTAACGATTTATTCAGCGATTTTTTTCAGCGACGAGCTCCAGTTTCCCCGAAGAAGGGTCTCAAGGCCAATTGTGACATCAAAACACTAAAAGCGACCCTTAGTTTCAAAAACCATGTGACCTTTAAGGTCAAAAGCTGGGTCAAAAGACGGGGAACTCGATATCAACCAAAAAGTACGCGCCGATTCGAAAACTGTGAACATCAAAGTATTCACAAGCGCAAGGGCACGTCAAACAGTTCTGACCTCTCCAGGTCACCCTTCTAGGTCAAACAGGGGCTCAAAGAACGCGGGAACTTCATGTCGCCCATAAATTACCGGCCGATTTTTAACTTACATCCATCAGGCTATTCACCACAAAAAGAGCTAGCGTCCGTCAAAAGGTTCTGACCTCTCAAGTTCACCCTTCAAGGTCAAACGCAGGCTCAACAAACGACAAACTACATATCACCCAAAAATTTCCGACCGACTTATAGCCTACAAAGATCAAGATATCCACCACAGAAATAGCTAGCGTCCGTCAAGAAGTCCAGACCTCTCAAGGCCATCCTTCAAGGTCAAACGCGGGCTCACAGGATGGGTAGCTGCATATCACCAAAAAATTACCGGCCGATTTTTAACTCACAAATATCAAAATATTCCCCACAGAAAGGACTAGCGTCCGTCAAAAGGTTTAGACCTCTTAATGTCACCCTTCAAGATTAAACGCGGACTCAAAGACGGGGAGCTCCATATCACCCAAAAATTACCGTCCGGCTTTTAACTTGCAGATATCAAAATATTCACCACAGAAATAACTAGCGTCCGTCACAAAGTCCAGACCTCTTAAGGCCACCATTCAAGGTCAAACGCGGACTTACAGGACGGGTAACTCCTTATCACCCAGAAATAGCTGTCGATTTTTAACTTATTAAGTCCAGAATATTCACCACAGAAAGATCAAGCGTCCCCCAAAAAGTCCTGACCTCTCAAGGTCGCCCTTCAGGGTCAAACGCAGGCTCAAAGTACGGGAAACTTCACTTAACACGAAAATTACGGGCTGATTTTTTACTTGCAAACATCAAAATATTCATCACAGAAAGAACTAACGCCCGACAAAAAGTCTTGACCTCTCAAGGTCACCCTTTAAGGTTAAACGTGGGCTCAAAGGACGGGGAACACCAAGTCGCCCGCAAAATTACCAGCCGGTTTAAACTTACATCTATCAGGATATTCACCACAGAAAGCACTAGTGTCCGTCAAAAAAATCCTGACCTCTCGAGGTCATCCTTCAAAGCCAAACGTAGGCTCAGAAGATGGGGAGTTCTATATTATTCAAGAATCACCGGTCAATTTTAAACTTGCATGCACCATGATATTCGCCAAAGAAAGTTTTGGCGTCCGTCAAAAAATCCTTGACCTTGAAGGGTGACCTTGAGGGGTCAGGATTTTTTATGGACACTAGCTTTTTTGTGGTGCATATTTTGATTTAAAAATCGGCCGGTAATTTTGGGTGATTTGCTATTCCCCGTTCTCTGAGACCGCGTTTGACCATGAGTAGTGACGTTGAGAGGTCTGGACCTTTTGACGGACGCTAGCCCTTCCTGTGGTGAATATTCTGGTCCTTGTAAGTTAAAAATCGGCCGGTAATTTTTGGGTTACATGGAGTTTCCTGTCCTTTGAGCCCCCCATTTTACCTTGAAGGGTAACCTTGAGAGAACTGGATTTTTTGGCAGACGCTAGCTCCTTTTGTGGTGACTATCCCAATGTTTGTAAGTTTCAATCGGCCGGTAATTTATGGGTGACATAAAGTTCTCCGTCTTTTGAGCTCGCGCTTGACCTTGAAGGGTGACCTAGAGAGGTGAGGACTTTGTACTGACTCTAGGTCTTCCTGTGGTGACTTTTCTTAGGTTTTCAACCTAAAAATCGGCCGGTAATTTTCGGGGTGATATGGAGTTCCCCGTCCTTTGATCCCACGTTTCACCTTGAAGGGTGATCTTGAGAGGTCAGGACTTTGTGATGGACGCTAGCTCTTTCTGTGGTGAATATTTTGATGTGTGTAAGTTGAAAATCGGCCGGTAATTTTTGTGTGATATGGGGCTCCCCGTCCTTTCGGCCCACGTTTGACCTTGAAGAGTGACCTTGAGATGTCTGGGCTTTTTGACGGACGCTAGTTCTTTCTGTAGTTAATATTTTGATGTTTGTAAGTCAAAAATCGCCCGGTAACTTTTGTGTGATATGGAACTCCCCGTCCTTTGAGCTTCTGTTTGACCTTGAAGGGTGACCTTGAGAGGTCAGAGGTTTTTGACGGATGCTGGCACTTGCGTTTGTGGATATTTTGATACACACAGTTTTCGGCTGATATCGAATTCCCTGTCCTTTGACCCAGCTTTTGACCTTGAGGGTCGCATGACTTTGCAAAATATATGTCATTTTTGGTGTTCTTATGCCACAATTGACCTTCAGACTCTTTTCCGGAGAAATTAGAATTAGACGCTAAAAAATCGCCGAATAAATCGCTAACTTTGGGCCATTGGGTCCATACCACCCGATCCCTTACGCCCTTATGACGTTGAAGCTTTGATGCCACGAAGTGGCACCAAAATGTCATGGTGAAGAGATACCAAAAACGATTGTTTCGAAACCACGCAGCCTTCATTTTAAAGAGGCTTCCAATTCCAGGCTCACCACAAAGGACCCCACATCTTCAGTTTTGAGCGGCACAGAATTCCAGCTGTACCACAATATTTTGGTAGCTGTGCCGTGTCCATTTGACGACATCCTGCATTGGCCAGTTCGGAAAAGGAACACCAAAGGTATTATTTCGGGCTTAATGACCCATATTTTCAAGAGGCACCTAGTTATAGCTAATTCACCTGGTAATTAATTTATATAATTCTAGCTAATTCCCCCGGTGGTGGCTAAAAACCGGGAAACCCGATCTAATTCACCCGTCAGCGTATTTCTTTAGGGTGATTTCTTGGGTTGAATTCCCTCCTGCCTTTTCACCTGCAGGGGCCCTTTTTTAACCGCGTTCATGCTCTCTTACTGTGACCGGTTGCGCCGCTGGCCTCAGTTCAGGTCCCTGGTGCAAATGGAGACCGAAACTGTTCTGTGTGTGTTTCAATGGCCGTGCTGTATTGGTGAAATGGAACATGATTTAGTCATGCATTTGGACTGCATTTTTAGGCTGATGACCGCAATTCAAACAAAAATATACACTTGTATATATATATATATATATATATATATATATATATATATATATATATACACTATGCACATTAAAATACGCTATAATATGCGCAAATATATTACACACTATATATACTTACAGTGCGATCCATCATCAGTCAGAAGGTAGATGCGTAAGGCATCAACGCAAACAGTTGAATATGTTCGTAATCAAGGAGATGCAAACAAGAAGATCAAGGCTGAAATGGCAGGGAAGTAGTTTTCTGGGCGGCGACACACATATGCATTCCAATATGTGCATACAAAGACTTGATGGACAAATAAGTCTGGGTCGTCTGGACGGAACGTTTCCCTTTGACGTTAAGAAAAAACTGTCATTCATCGAGCTCAGCCACCGGATCAAGACCTGAACAAGTAGCTCGCGCATACCACGCAGGTTGGTCTCGAAGTACCTCCAGAACCTAGATACCTGTTCTAAACAAAAAGTCATGTGCACATTTCAGGTCAGTGACCATGTTTGACCTTTCAAAGGTGATAATGACCAAAATTATGCAATCCTGTTTTGAGTTTTGCTTTTGAATAACCAACAAATATTGCGCAAGGCGGTATGTTCCTGAATACAAAATGTTCACCTGAGTCGTTTTAGGTCAGTGACCTCTTCAACCTTTGAAAAGTCCATGGAGGATGCATAATGCGTTTCCTGTTATCAATAAATTCGAAATGAATACCAAAAGCTACGCTTTACAGCAAGCCCTAGAGTAATAAAGCATGCCCGCTTTGGTCTTGGCCTAACCTTCAGACCTGACCCTTGGTTAATGAAATTTGTTCATCCAATTGTTTTATTTCCCAAGAAAGTATTTCGGAGATGTATGGCTTTGTTTAACTCCCCATCGCTGCATTAGATTAAATGGCTACCTAGAAATTGACTTCACTGAATCGATGGTCTGACTTTGACCTGCCGCAGGTCAGCGACCTTATAAGGCACATGTCAATTTGTAAAAGGCAGATCAAATAGTCCCCACCCGAGC